AGGAGCCGGCACAGGGCACACACACACAAGCAAACCCCAAGTGACCCCTGAGCAGACTCTATCTTCCGAATTTATAAAATAATATAATAAAACTTATCTTCCAGGTATCCCCTGAAGATGAAACTAGGTAAGGAATGTCAAGCGGCCAGCTCAGAGCAGATTCTCAACTAGTCATTCTCCCTTCTCCCACTTCTCCCTGAGATGAGCCGATCTGCCTGCTCAGCATTACGAGCCCTTCTGACATGCCAACGAAGACAGTCACCGCTTTCCTGCCTCCGTCAGAAGCAACAGGTAACCGGGGAGCAAAATATTACAAGTAAAAGAGGGAGAGCCCAAGGAGTGGTGAGCGTTCTGGCTGCTAATGAATATCGGCTAAGTCATCTTTACTGAAAACCATGAGTTCAACCTGCTGGATTAACCCCTGGCAGGCTGGGTCAACCAGGTGATACAGCTGTGCTTCTATGTGGAAATGGACTCAATAATGCCAACCTGCAGCCAGGAAGTCTCCGAGGCGCCCTATTTTAAACTACTTCGGTGGCTTGCATCAGAGCTAACTAATGTCCACACTGCTCCAGGGCGGAATGCCGCTGCTACGGGACCACACTGCCCTTCGACCAGCTCTGCTTTACTGCTTACAAGCCCCAGCAGAAAACCCTGATGAAAAAAAGAAACTTAAAAACTAAATTAAGACTTCAGCACTCTTTTTTTCCAGAGCTCATCAGAATAAAAGAACCAATTACATAGTATCAAAACAGCCAAATTGCCTATTTCGTGAGAGCCAAAATTTTTCTCACTAAAAGTAAGATTTTACCCTGTAGACCTAACTCCCAATAAAGAGTGACTGCCTGGTTGTTAAAATGCTCAACTGGGCTGCCCTTCATCTGGGGCGGGGGGATGAAGGAGAGGCCGAGTTCAGCATTTTCTGGATATTAAAGGATGCACCAGGTACCGTGGGAGACCTGGAGATAAGAGAAATGAATAAGACACACCCCTTGCCTTTGAGAGAATTTAAAGCCTAATGGGCAAGGGGAGGTACATAACGATAACATTTTGCCTTACTATTGCTAACGATTGTTACTAGCTAAAAGAGAGGCCTATCCTCAGGAGGCCATTAGCTCAGCCCGAGGCCTTCAAAGCAGCTTTCTTAAAAAAGATCACACTTGAGTGAAGTCTTAAAGACAAGCGCACAGTATCCAGGTAGCAGGCGTTCCACACGGCACCCTGAGTAAAGGCACAAGGGCCTCCACTGCTCACGGCATGTGTGCACAGGGCGATGATAAGAGTGGGCTGGCAATGTGTGAACCTTGGCAGGATGTGGCACTGCAGAATCAAGTAGGAACCAGGTCACTGAGGACCATGTGAGGCCGGATTCAGACGTTAAGAAAAAGAATAATAGAAGCTGGTACTTACTGAGCATTTACTACGTTGCAGGCGCTATGTTAAGCACTTTAGAGTAATTCATAGAATCGTCACCAGAACACCATAAACCCCATTTTACAAATGAGGGCACTGAGGGTAGAAAAGTCACATCATTGCAACAGGCTACACAGCCAGTGAGTGGGAGGTGGGTTTGGAAGCCCACGATGGCCTGATTCCAACGCTTGAAACCTACACTTTCCTATCTCCAAGGCTATCCTCGAGAGAAAGGCTGGATGGGCACAGATGGGTCGCTCATGCTGGGCACAGAATGGAGAGCTGAGGTGACCCAATTGTGGGCCTGAAACCAAGGCAGTTGTGGAAAAGAATAGATTAATGAAAAAAAAATACTCAAGAGAGACTGAGAAGGAAGCATTCAACATGCACTCTCTCCCTAGAGCATTCAACCACAAAGTGGACTTTGGACAAAGGGGTCCAGGAAATAAACCACCAGTGCTCAGTCAGTAATGCTTCCAAGGGCAGAGGGTTAGAATGTGAATGTTCTCTTGGCCTTTAACACGCTCCTGTGTGTTAAACACAATGAGGGCAAAGACCGTGCCTGTCTTACTGATTCAGGATGGTGTCTCCAGGTCTGCACCTCCTGCCTGGCACAGGGAGGCTCTATCAATACTGATGAGACGGAAAAATGAGTAATGGCCACGCTTTCCAGTGGCACCCAGAACGTGTCATTCTTCATTGGAAAAATAGGGTGAAAAATAAACTTTTTGAAAGTTAGCTTGATAACTGAGAACTGGTAAACTGAAATGAAAAACATTTGGTGGTTCTGTGGACTATACGGACAATAATGAAGACTCATCACCATGGGGTGCTATCAAAAAAAAATACGATGAGTGTTTTGTATAAATCATAACCGGTTTAAAAATAAGATGTTATTAAAGGAAGTGGCCTAGAGGTGAAAATGTGCTTTCTGGGAACAAAAGCAAACAGACCAAAGTTCCTATCTAGGCCTACTGATTTCTGACCCTGACAAAGTAAGCACACCATAAAGCGATTTTAGGACAGAAGTTTACCTGTATGACACTTTCACCAACATTTAGTCAACAACAAGCTTCTCTTGTTAGGGATTTGAAAAATAAAGTCACGTTTTTCAGATCTGAAGAAATTTCAGACATGTAGTTTTCCCCAAGGAGAGTACTTTCTCCTGTGCATTTAGGAAAAATGAATCTACTAATTCAAAAACGAAACTTTTCTAAAGTTCAGTATATTTGTTAGTGAAGTTTATTAATATACTGAAAGCCTTTGCTCACTTGTCAACCCACTAAACAGAACATGGATTTTATTTTTATTTTTTTGGTGACCTAAGAGGAGGCTGTAAATAATCTTATTTCCTAACATGCCATGAACTAAGATATTCTGCAAAACGTTTTGACAGTTTACTAATTACATTAGAAAAATCCTAAAACCATTTACCTACATGGAAAATCAAAATGCAATTATGAAATTAGGTTTCTCATCTTCACTCTAGCTACTTTCCACTTTCAACTACCTTTGAAAATTTAATTTCAAATAAATACAAATTCAAAATTTGAATTTATCTTTGTCCAACTATTTTGAAACTTTAACTCTATAAAGATACAATATCTGTGGGTTTTGTAAAACTGCTTAAAAGCCCAAATAAAAAAGCCACTAGGCCTTTAATTGTTTAAAAGGGTGTATATAGATGAAATGAAACTGACTCATGAACTATTGAGTCTGGAATTTGTAATCATAAATCTTATCCTTGTAAACAAAACCTAACAAAATCAGAGCCCACAAATTTCCTTCTTTCGTAATCTGAAACAAAAATTTTAATGATTTTTCACATACACAGAGAATTAAGGGTGCATTTAAAATATTTATTAGCTAAATATAACTCCGTTTTTAAGAGTCTGGGGTATAATCAGAGACAGTGGAACATTTTGAACATTCTGGTACTGCAATGTAGGACAACATCCAAAAACAAAACCCTGACTGGGATTTCATTTACCCATAGAACTCAAATTTGTGTTGGGAATTTTTGTTTACAGCTTTTACAACAATCCTTGTTCCATTAATAACTCCCATCTCCATGTGGTCTTCAATATGAACTTCTCAATCCACTTCAAATACAATGGAATGTACCATTTAGAACCTGGTGCATATTTCTTTCTTTTTAAAAAAAAATCATTTTATTTTTTTTTCAATTTTTCAATTGTTCAATTACAGTTGTCCCCATTTCTCCCCCATTGCTCTCCCCTGCCCTGCCCACCCACCCTCTTCCACATTCAATCCTCCCCACCCCTGGTCTGTCCCTGGGTCCTTTACACAGGTTCCCTGACTTGATCCTTCCCCCTTCTTTCCCGTTATCCCCAGCCCTCCTCCCCTCTGGCCACCATCAGTCAGATTACAAACCTGTGGGTAAATCTGCCTGAGGCCCTTAGTAAAGCAAACCCGTGCTTGTGATAGCGTGGACTGACAAATCCTCTACATTTCCAAATCCACACAGGGCATCTCCAGGTCATCAAAGGGGGAGGGGAGAGACAAAGATGTAAAAGATGAGGGAATGGAAAATTATCCAAATCTAACCATGGCATTTTACAGATGAGGAAAACTAAGGCCCCGAGAGGTCCAAACACTCAGTTGCGTAGACCACAGCTGCAGACACTCAGTTATATGGCTCATAGTTGCACAAATTCTAATTTTTTGAGGTCTCAGGGGTTCGGTACTTTCCATAACACATCGTTAAGTACTTAATTCATTCATTCACCCCCTACAACCTCACCCTCCCCCCCCCCAAAAAAAAACCTCTAGAGATAGAGATCATTTGGGCAGCAGAATCACGATCTTAACCTTTCCGTTTCCACCAAGATAACTGCAGAGAACCGTCAACCCCCGGAAGATAGGGTTGTCTTGCTCCAGGCAACATCTCCAGTGCCCAGCACCTAGCAGGCCCTCGGTAAAGCATTCTCCGCCTCCACCTGACAATCCCCACTCCCTAACGCACCGAGGCCAAGCCTTCGGTGGAGTCAGATAACTTTCCTTTGCAAATCGCCTCTCTTCTTCCAAGTTGAACTATCCGGTAACTCCCGGCCAAGAAGCCAGCCCGGGGGAGTGTGTGGCCCTTCTCCCGAGCTAAGAAGGGAGTAACTGGCCATTTACGGTGGTGGCTCGGCAAGTCCTGGATGGGCACGAAGCATCGCCACGGGCCGCGGTGGCCCCAGGTGTGCCAGCTGCTTCGGCGGCCTTGGCGGCCGCCGCTCCAGGCCGCTGTTACCCTGCCTCCTCCAGATAACCAACTTCTCAAACTTCCCTTTCCGGGGGTTGGGGCGCGCCTTGAACACAGCCAACACACAACGCCTTTCCTGCCCGCACAAAGGGGTCCAAACGCGCCCCGCGCCCCCTGCAACTTTAACTTTCCTTTTCTTTTGAAAGTAAAACTCACACATCCCTGTGGCTAAGGGAGTCAGCCTGCGTGATGCCCTAAGGGAAACGTTCCGGTTTCCGCCAAGCGCGGCGTTCCCGGGACCGCCTGTCAAGCGCAGAGAAGAGGCGGGGAGTCCCGGAGACCCCAGGAGCCACGCCAAGCCGGGCCGGGGGTCACTCACCCGCCTTCTGAACGTGCGGAGGGATCGTGCTGGCGATGCGCGTCCACAGGACGATGTGCAGCGGCCACAGGCCCCTGAGCAGCCCCCGACCCATGGCAGACCCCGCCGATCGTCATAGACCGAGCCCCGAGCGCAGCTGCCGGCGCCTTCCCGGACCCCTGGCTGCGCCTCCGCGCCGCGTCCTCTCGGGACCCCGCGCCCGGCCGGCCGGGCAGATGTGCCGGCCAGATGTGGCGCTGGCGCGGCTCGAGGAGGGGGCCTGGAGACCGGCGAGGCGCGGGGAGGCCCCCGGCGGCCGAGGGGAGCTGCGCAGGAGGCCCGCTCCTGTCCCAGGCGTGTGCGCGCGCGGGGTGTCGTCGGTCCCGGCGCGCGAGTGTGACTCACTCAACTTCTTCACCCGGCGCTGCGGGGGGAAACAGGAAACTCCTCGCCAACAGCTGGGCAGGACCTCTCACCGCCCGAGAGAGCCTTCTCCCTCTCTTCTCTTCCAGCCCTCGCTCTCTCTCGTAGCTGCCAATCATGTCCCGAAGACCAGCCCCTCCTAGAGCTTTGGCAAACTTTCAGCTGCCCCTCACCGCCCTCAGGAGTACTGGCTCCAAGTATTTACTCTGGGGTGACTAAGTGCACACGTTTCACAAAGTAACTGAGCATAGAAAGTGTATATACTTTTCAAAGCACCTTCTCCCACCTTCCAACCTTCTTCGGATGGTTCTAGGTGCTTCGGAGCTGTGTTTTCAAAGTACAAGTCACAATGCAGGAGTGGATGCTGAAATCCAATGAACTGCGAGCACCTTGTTTTCTATTAAAATAGAGTAAGTGTTGTCTCATTAAACGTTTGGTTCGGTTATGTATGCATACATTGTTACTTTGCAGAATGTTTCTCAGTATAGGTGGACGTCCAGAAACTTCTCAAATACCGTGCATATCGATCACCTGAGGATCTTCTTAAAATGTCAATTCCGATTCAACACATCTAGGACGGGACATTTCTGATGAGCTCCTAGGTAGGGGCTCCCATTTTGAAATGCCTGTTGCTGGGGGTGATCCCACAAGGAATTGTACAGGATGGGCCAGCACACAGTGACAGTGGTGGCCCCCTTCCGCGTGTATCGCGCATGGCAGAAAATGTAAAAATAAAAAGCGTCCTGGAAGTCAGCTGAATGCCAGGGTTTGCATTCCAGTGGAGCCAGGGAAGAGAGAATATTTAGCCTCTCCTCTGCAAAAGGTGAAACTGTAGGAGCAGGGCAGTATGAACTTTTCACGTTCCCTTCCTGCTCAGGGGACCAGGTTTGCCCCGAACAATTCGGGTGTACATCTGTTTTGAAGTTAATCATTATCCAACCCAAACACATTCTCTTTTCCCTGGGTCTCTCTTGGAATTATACTCGTGTGCTCACCCTACTAACAGCTCTTGAGACTTCCAGTCTGTATAGCCCTCTGGTCAGGAGATCTTCCAGCACGTGGAGCAACTGACTCCTTTATCTGAGACAGAGACTGTTTGCAGAGAGGGAAGGTGGCCAAGCTTACTGGAAATCCATTAAGGCAAACAGCCCTCCCATAAACCCAGCTCCTGAAATCTTCCTTGTCAAGCTACAGGTTCATTGGCTCGATCCTGGCACCTTAAGTCTTGCCACTGTGGTCCCAAACCAGCACTGAAGCTGCCTCTGAATGTGTCTTTTAGAAAAATATCACCTCTCAGCTCTTAGGTTTAGGACGCAGAAAGGGCAGGGACATTGGGAGGCCTGGGCATCCACTTGCCCACCCATAAGGTTGGGACACTGGAGGCACTTGAAGATGGAGAAAAGCTATGTTCAAAATCCCCTTCTCCCCATTTTCTTCCTCTGCGGCCACTTTACCTGGGGCCATTGCCATTCCTTCAGCAGGAGTCCGCCAGCCACTCACGCTCAGTCACGGCCATTCTGAGCCCTTTTACTCAGCTCCTCAAACCAGAGCTGAAGTCATTGTTTCAAAATGCAAACCTGGTTATACCAACCCTCTGATTAAAATCATTAAAGGGCTTCTCATTGCCCCTGAGATAGAGGATTGGAAACAGGCCCTTCAGCTTGCCTTCAAGTCCCCCTTTCTCTTGCAGCTTTCCTTCGGAATTCCCTCCCTCTCCTGCTGAGAGCCTTCTCCGAGTGCCTAGAAAATGCTTCTCTAATCTCCCCACACAGAGCCTTTCCCAGGATGCACTTCCCTTCCTCGGAACGTCCTTTCTTCTTCACCCAGCCAACTCCTAATCTTCCTCGGGTGAGTCAGAACTTCCTGGATGAGCAAGCTTTCCCTGACCTCCCTGAGTAGATCTTTTATGATAGGTTCTCTTGGCACCGGCTGGCTCTCTTTGTTAGCACTTAACAACAGCTATAGTTTATCATTCTTTAATTCCCATTCCTCTCCCTCACTTTAGTCCCAGTTCTCTGAGGACTGGGATCACTTTCCCTCTGCTCATTATTGTATCCCCAGCACCTAGCACAGAGTAGGTGTTTAATAAATTTTTGTTGGACGAAGGAGCAAAATGAGGTAACAAAGATTCAGAAGGAAATTGTATGTAATCCTGGTAGTTACTTCATTACTCTGAAGAAGGCATTGTATTACCTAATAAATTGAGATAAACAAGCTAGATTTTAGCTGAGGGTGATGTCACTACTACTTCCTTTTCCTAAAAATAGAGAAGTGTGTAAGTTTCCTTTTTTCTTCTAAATTTGCCCAAGTTCCTCTAGACGGCATACATATGTTTTCTTTCTCCCCAAAACACACTGAGACAAATAAATGTCTGACTGATTCTAAAGATTTTCTTTTCCATATTTATTGCAAAGACAGATGTTTACATTGTTAGAGGCCGGGTTTGAGGTATTTCATTCCATGGTGAAATATTTAACTGGTGGTCTCTGTCATTGTGTATCACTAATGCTGGTTTTAATTTTGTTTGTCATTAACATTTCTGATTGAATCCTCAATCTCCTGTAAAACTGAGAGTCTGAATTCAGCATTGCCAAGTGCAAACTCGCCTTTCAGCAACCATCATGATGAAATCATAGGCGTGTAAACTCACACATATTGCAACTTGACAATTTAAAAAAAATGTCTAGATCACCTAATTGTCATTGAAAGAGAAGTTTGATACTTTCAATTAAGACATTGCCTCATGCACAGTTGTATACTTGACTTAATATTAACTGTCTGTGTATTCACATAGACAGCTAATATACAAATGCAAAAACTGGGCCATTTGCAGATGGAAACAAAAAATGAAAGCTCGACTCAGGACTTAAAAAACAAGGAAGGTAACGTTTAAGCCCTTACCAAGTTCAACAACGGTAAAAACAACTTCAGCCAAGGTTAAACAGCTCGAACATCTTCAGTTTTCCAGTTTTACAAACTCTAAACACGCATACATAAAACAATGGGACTGAATCAAAATGTAGTTAATGTGAGCCCTGCCTTTCCCAATTGCAATGAAGCAAGACGTTTGTGCTCCCCTGAACTTGCTGACATGCAGCTGTTGAGGTTGCTGGTGACTCCAGCCACTGCCAGGGAGATCCCTCTCCATGGAGGTCCCTCATTCTGCATTCTCCGCTTTTACCTGTTGCCCAATCGTCCTTCTGTTGTGAAGCAGACCGATAAGCACTGAGACAACAGTGACTGTGTGAGCGTCACCCACCCACCCTTTCAGGGTCATGCCTGATGCAAGGTCGTCCCTGATGCGAGCTCCTCCAGGAAACATCCTGGGATTCTTCCAGCCTCATCAGATATCTCCTCTCCCCTCTCCCAGGGAGAACCCAAGAAGCATTAAGTTTATTTTTTATCTTATTTTTTAAAACATCTGCTCCATATTGACATGAAGTGCATTATAGTGATGCATTTCTTTTTTTGGAATTCTACCCCACCAATTGTAAAGTCCTTGAAAGCACAGATATGCTTTTGTCAACTTTGAACCCCACTCTGTGCCTTACAGTACTCGATGTATGTTTCTTGTCTTTAATTGAGGGAAAAATAAAAGTACCTATTTCCCTAATCCATGTCCTTGTTTGCAGTTCTTCATGATACCAACTGAACCTGCATTATGTCACATGTTTACAGAAGGCATGAATAGCTTTTTTTGGAAAAAAATAACTTAAAAAAATTTATATACATATATATACACACACACACACTGATATATTACTTTTAGGTAGGAAAAAAGTCTGGAATACAGACAAGCCAAAGGCAGAAAATACAAGGAATCCCTAACCTTATCACTAAAAGATAATCACTGTTAACATTTTGGAACAAGTTCCTGCAGTACTACTGTAATCTTCACTTTCCAGGTAAAGAATTTGAGGATTAGGGAGAGTAAGTATTGGAGTATTTGGAGTCTTTGGCAAAGGCCACGTAGGCAGAAAGGGACAGAACCCAGGTTGGAACTGAGGCCTGTCTAGAGCCATAACTGTTCGTGCGGCCCCGTCAAACGAACACACGCCAGGTCCTGCCTGCTGGCTCAGCTGTCTCTTCTCCATATCTTTACAGGTTTGTTTTTTCCCACTTGTTGTTCACATGCAAGTGCTAACCAATTCTGTCCTCTGCCCGCCCCCTCTCACTCCTGCTGGGGAACACATCTATTTCTCTGGCTCCACTGGTACACGATGATTTCCAAATCTAATGGCCAATTTCTAATTTCTCACCAAAAGTTCTAATTTCTCACCAAAGCTACATTTATTCCAACTATTCTCTGCATAGATGTTCTGCTGGCACTCACATTTATTACTTTAAAGTGGAACTCCAAAATGTTTGTCCCCTTGGCACGTTTCCTATATCAAGTAAAGGTGCCCTCTCCAATGGGTGACCCAAACCAGAAACATGAAAGTCAGCTAGGAGTTTGCCTCTGTTTTACCCTCCAGAACATAGTAGGTATTGGAGCCTATTTACTTCCTAAACATCTCTCAAATCAATTCTGCTCTCATTCCCATTGCTGACATTGTTTTAGTTCTTTTCTCATTTCATGTAGCATTATTTAAATTTCCTCATCTTCTTGCCTCTCTCGTCTCACCCCATTCTACTACATCCTCTACTGTTACCAAAGTGTTCCCCTCCAAAAGCATGAGAACAATCCCATTTAAAATTATCCAATGTCTTTCCCTTGTCTTTAGGATCTAATTTCACCCTACCATTCATCTATTTATTGATTCAGCCAGCATTTCATTCATTCTGCGGCCCAAATGCTGTGTTAAGTGCAATGAAGACAGAAGGACTCAGAAATGTAATCCCAGCCTCAACTGAAGGGCTCTGGGCTGTCCTTATGATCAAATGTGAAACACTGATAAATAAACAGCTGATATGAATCAATAGGATAATATGGTTGTCACAATGGTGATAAGCTCAGGGTACCACAGGAGGGGGCA